AATATGCAGTCCCCAGATAGGGCACGTATCAGATATTAAACTGATAAGAACAGATACTACACTTGATCTTAGCCAAAAGGCCGAGAAGCGATACCTACAAATGGTCAACAGGAGGAACCACATCCTTTGACACAGCAAATTTGACAATGGTAAGCTTTTACTTGGCATTTTTTTTTTTTTTTTTTTTTTCACATATTGTAGTCTTGACTGCACTTGTCAAGCTCAGCCGTTATTACAAGAAACATCATTGCACAGTAGTAGTATTTAAGTATTTATCTTTCATTTATGAGAAATATAAGATCATCAGTAACTACAAAACAATATTTGGTCCCAAACTAGCTACATCTTGAGCTTAAATTCTTGAGCATAATATATATATATATATATATATTTTTTTTTTTTTTATATTTATTCACTGTTAATTGCTATAACAATGAAAACACTAAAACAATGAATGTGTTTTCAAGTGCATTTAGACATTGCAAATTAACATACTAGTTTGACAAATTTTGAGTTGTAAGAAAACATGGTTTTGCCCTCTATTCATGGAAAGCATCATGTGAAGAAGGGTTATGAAAGAATTCAAGAGAGGACAAGAAACAGGTATTATAGAAATACGAGGAGATCCATGGGCAAGTCTAGATTAGTTATCTAAATTTGCTTGGGAGATTTGGAGCGAATACTAGAAAATCCTGCTGAATTCTTGACCAAACGTGCTGGCAGTGTGCTAGAGCAGCTCTGGGTTTGAGTGATTTACCGGCGTGAGCATCTGAATGCTCTCTGTGAAATTGGCCACGAATGCCATGATGGTCATCTTCTGCATGAGACGCTCGATCTTGCTGAACTGGATCATGAAGCGATCCTCATTCGTCAGGTTCTCCAGAGGTTTGCGTTCCTTCTCATACTGCCGGAAAACTTTCAGCTCCGCTTCCGTTGGAATGAACCTCATCAAACACTCCACGAAATCCACTGGCAACGTCCGCAGGTCAAGCCTTACACACACACACACACACACACACATATCAAAGCATCATCCTCATTAATCTGATGACCTCCTCTATGTTGGCTGCAGTAATCATAAAAAAATAACTTACAACTCAAGAAATATTTTAAAGGTGACATATCATGAAAATCGGACTTTTCCAGGTTTT